TCTTAACGGAATCTAAGATTATGGAATAAAATTCTATTGATTTTCATATTTCACAATACAAATGGATTAACGACACCAAAACTGATCATAACATACTATGAGAATATGGTAAAAGAAAAGGAATGAGAGATTTACAAATGTATTCAAGATTTAAGGGAAAACTTCACTTGGAATGTACGACTGATACCGTTCCCCATAGTTTAGCAGCATTCCTACCACTTTTGAAGTTCATCTATTCCTTTATTTTATGGTAGACAGATAAAAATAAAAATTTCTAAACTTCACAACAATATGGAAAGAAAAAACTAAAACGATAGAAAGGGTGATCATATCACTCACTCACACACACACACACACACACACACAACCTTTCTACTGGAGGAAGGTAACCAGTAAACTAATGAAAGTTGATATGGACAATCGATAGTGTTAAAACTAGGTTTCAAAAATACTGTAATAAAAGTTAGTCACAAAAGCACCTCCATAAACTTGATGAGAACAAAAATTCTTAACTTAAGAAATGAACAGATGAACGCGTATCTAAGAATAACAGCAAGACTTATCCTCCTGAGGAAAACTATGATAACAGGTGTAGAAAAAGTGGCCTATGCTGTTGATAACCTGATAGCAACTATCAGTAAAAGATTTTTGCTGTTACACTCAAACTTAGGGGTGCAACATGTGATTCCTGTGGGCTCCAAAAACAACGAGGGAAGGCTGCTTGAATGAAGGATGACTAAAACCATCTGCAACTACCGTGAACAGTGTTACACAACAAAAGTGCAAAAGATGGAAGAGGTATCAGATCTAGGTGACACCACACTATCATTATATATATATATATATATATATATATCATAAAAGGTTACATAACAAACATATATGTCGTAAAGCGTCGAAAGACTTCGTTAAATCGACACCAACAAACAATAACACAGGAACTATAATTATTAACTTACTGACTGAGTTTCAAAGTAGGACTTTGCATAGAAGTGTATCATCTTAAGACGAAGAATTTAAACTAACCATAATGAGCAGAAATGTACAGCGGGAAGAACACTAACAAGGGAAAAACACCAGGATTCAATGGGTATAAGAACTCACAAAGAATGAATGCGTCTCCTCCATTGTGTGATACGATTTTGAGCCATGTCCTCAAAACTCTCAAGTTAGTCATTCTCAGCATCTCAACTACCCCAGCTGGACAGTCTACACTTAGTTAGCGGTTCAAACCAACGCTCAAAGACATAATGGATTGATTTCATCATACATAACCTTTTTCCGATCGATTCATATGTCAGCTAACATAGCTAGCTTGTCCAGGAAAGCAGTGGCTAGACATATGTAAAACGTTTCCTAACCATCCCACTCGATGTACCTTTATAACCTCATCGATTGACATGCACTTCTTACCCAACACTCTACTCCTAACGACAATATGACTTACCATATTATACCACTCAAGACGAGAGACAGAACAAAAACAGTTATGGTCATAGACAGCTTGTCTCCTGAAGTCGGTCATGTCTCACAACCATAGAGATGTTTCTACATGAATGTTGTAACGCGGTTTTAAGAGGATATCAGTAGTATTTCTCCGAGTCTTGCTGCTATTAATGACCAACGAGTTAAGAGAAGGTAAAAGGTCTACTTGTGGAATAGTAACAACGCTAAGAGGAAAGCAAGAATATGAAAGTGAGTGATGACAAGAAGAGTTTAGCGTGCTTATGCAAGCGCGTTGACAGTTATTACTTCCCAGTTAACAATACAGTTATAGTTTCCTTCTGTGATACCTGAAACATAAGAGCATTAGTATTGCATCACTGCATAGCACAGCCCTACGGACAAATGCTTTTGACCGGTCACACACAGCCTGTTTCGAGTGGCTTTTGGAGCTGTCGTGGGATTAAAACCTTACTGACCGCTACGGACTGCAGAAAGGTATGTCAGGAAGTACAATTTTTGCGATCAACCTTTTCTAACCCTGCTTTTAGAGCAAAGATGCACCATAGCTTAACGTTCATCTTAGGGAAACACCTTGCTGCTGTCGCATCCCTATTTGCCAGCAGTACGATTCTGTCCTCCGACTCCCAATGTAGTGTGAGCAACTTACATTATGATGGTAACCACTTCCAGTCTGACTGCTATACAAACAGCCTCTCTGGCTAGATAGGATCTGTAGCAATTTCAGTTCCAGCTAGTGTACCTAATTAGGCCATTGAGACACGTCAACCCGGCCACCACGCCAACGTACCAGCTGTTGACGTTACTATTACCTAGAGATCATAGCTCTTAAACCCCCATCAGCAAATTATAGAAGAAATGAAAACAGTGCATCTAAACGTCGTAGAATGTTAATGTAAGATAATAGGATGTTATAAGGAACGTGAAGATTCTCTATCAATACATTTGCATTTTTGATAAATTTTGAGCCATATTACCTAAACATATTAACCATACAGGTCAGTGATTATTTTATTTATTTTTATTTTTGATCACAGCTTGATTCCACACTGTATTTTTGGTACAAGCATGGAATTTTCAGCATGGATATCGGTAGCCCAAATTTTGCAGGCCGACCGTAGATATCAGGTGTGCGTCGGCAGGGGATCAAACCTCGGACCATGTGCATGGTCGGCGAGAGTCCTAACCACTGTGCTACCGGCGCATCTCATGCTATACTTCTACAGACGGACACCAATAAAATTCAATAGCCTTCTAGATTAATGATATTTTTTTAGATTAATCTAATTTTCCAGTTTTTATCACCACAATTATTCCTTGATACAATTCCGTTGTTAGTGCTTAAATTCCTGTCACATGCAACTACAAACTAACTCAAGAGCCTAACAACCTAAATTTACATTGCATAAATAATAATCTGTCAGTCAAACAAATACCGAGTTAGATATCATCATTTGACGGACGCTCACTACTCGGAGTGTCGTTGGACAATTAATCTCCGTAATATTAGCGCGCAAAATTTCGATATTTTGGTGGTAAGTGATTCCATATTATTGTGTTTCTTTGATGTATCACACAATAGAAGTGGACACTGTTTCAAAAATAATTTATTGATCATTATCACAACTGATATCATAATGGAAAAGAATATTTGGTGATTATATTTATTTTGAATATTTTGCACGAAACATTCTAATGGAGAATGTCAGATATAAACAACAAGTAAAGAAACATGACCAACTTGATCAACTAGGCGTCGGTTAGGATATATCTATCTAGTGCTTATAGTATGACAACTCAGCAACTATATGAAAATTCATATAAACAATCAGCAACACCTACTCAAAATTTAAGTAAGACGCAATGCACACCAATCACTGAAAATAAAATATTTACACAAAACGGTGACAAGAAATGTCCTGCTATTCAGGTCTAATTACTTTGAGGAGACTTTTAGCCTCAAAAATTTAAAATATCTGATGGGATTATGGGTGCGTACTGCTTACTGAACAGCCCAAAACAAGGATAAAGTAGTCGCCCAGTACTCCTCGTTGATTTTCAAAGGTTCCTCTCCCTAAAGTCGATTTGTGATCAAAACTGAAATCAGTCGAATCCCTGAAAACCAACACTTGAAAATAAAATTACTTGAGCTCTGCTACAACTGCCCCGAAACTTCTGTTATCAAACAGTGAGGTGAATCTATGCAGAATATGAGCAGAAAGGCCATACATTCTTAACCAATACAATGAAAAATCAGCAACCTCTATCTTACCACAGGCTCCTAAATCAATTTTCTAGCCGAGTGTACGGATATGTTGCAGACCACTGGTTTTCAGCTACCGATATTGCAGACTAGATATCCAATTAGGATAAGAGCTGATTCACTTATCTCTTAAGTAGGTTTCCAAGGTGGATCACATGGAGATGTACATATATGATTACTGAAATACTTCTCTTCAAATTTATTCAAACATCCAAACTTGTGCCCAAGTCGGAGATTTAGTTTGCAAACGTCATCCACTACTGCACTGATGTCAATAGACAGTCACGTTACTTAGTCTGTGAAGCTGTATAGAACAGTATTTTCAGCCTGATGTTAAAATTAGCAATAGCCAGCTTAAATAATATTCCCTAATACATTAAACCACAATTTCACTCCTAAGAGGAAAACATTCTACGGAAATAAAGTGGGAATATTCAACACTAACAAACATACAAAACCACGAACCTAAATTTGTTTTCCTTAACGTAAAATGCTAACACTTAACGCAAAATTGACAAAGGCGCATCTGAATCAAACGTCGTGTCACCCAGTATATTTGGACACTTTGTCACTTGATTGGACGATTCATTTGAATCCAACAAAGACATGGTCTCCTTTACAAGGTGAGTCAGACATTCCCAGTTCCACTTGTGAACATAAGGATTCTTGTATGTTTAAAAAAGCATTCTACAACAACATGATTAATAAAATGTTATTAATAATACCTTAATCCTTCCTCTAGCTCCTTTATATGACTGGAGACGCATTAATTCCACACTATACTTCACCAGGTCAATATTAGCCGGCTATGCAGACATTTTTTGAGTGCTAAGCTCAATTTGTAATTCTGATACTTTCTTCGCTAGCGAAGCATTGTTGTTACGAAGACGCCCCTGAATTGATTGACTGATTCACTAAAATGAAATGAAACATTGGTGTACGATAGACAATGACAATACTTATTCCTTTAAAAGAGGGGTAGAAGAAACATACACTTTTGTCAATTCGTGTATTAAGACAAGTTGGAAAGACCTGGTTTTACAGTTCAGATGGCTCAATATTACAAATGGTTGCTATGACTATAGTCATAAATTTATGACACGTTATATAACGTGTCTACGGTTCCTCATTTAACTATTAGTCGACAATTAAATCAGAGTTAAATCTATTACGTACACAGGTTGTCTCAAAAAAGAACAAACTGGCAGTAGCTCAACGACTCACATTATCAAAAAGCAGTTGATTTTAATTGAAAATATATTTAATAATCTTGGCAAAAGAATTTACAATCTTTAGATAACTTTCTAGAGTAGAACATCCTATAAATCACCAAGAAAAGTCATCCGTGTGCTTTCGGCGTCTGGTCGGTTTTCTTTGTTAACGTCGACGGTGATCTGAAAAATGAAATTTGGAAAAAATCAAGACCTACCAATGGGGAACGCCGTCGCCTTCTAATCCTCGACTTCAGTCTATCCCGACTGTTATGGAACCAACGTTGAATTGAAGCCGTAATAGCCTTCACTGTGGTACGTTGGTCAGCATTACCTAGTTTATGTAAACTGCTAATAGTTCCTAGAGAGACAACAATGAAAAAAATTTCACCTACGTATCACAAGGTTACACGTCTTCGTGTCCTTGAATTTCTTTTTTCCCTTGGTCCCAGCCCATGAAAAATGTGAGCTGTAGTTCGGCTCCAGCAAGACATTCATTATGCGACCAACGGAGGTTTGCACGTCCCCGTCAACCAAACTAGAAAGATCCGCCGACACATCATGACGATATTCGTCTTGGGACAGTTTGGCCTCAAACGATGACATGACGGCGTCGCTATCTAACTGCCATCTCCCAGAACTTTTTAAAATTTGAACGGAATTGGCACACGAGATATTACTGTCAATGCTGTCGACAACGTTGACTAGCGAGAGTTTAGCCTCAAGCTCAGAGAGACGTGACTCCGTTCGTGCCTGGAAGGAGTTTATGCTTGAACGTAAAGCCCTTATCTCTTTCCAACAACCAGATGTACAGGTACCTGTCTCGTCAGTGCTTGGGCACCTGCAAGTAATATTTTTAGATTAAATTGAACTTACATATCCACGGGAAAGGGAATGTGGGCATTTGATGTGGAAGGGACAGACGACAAGCTGAAATGAAATTTTCAAGTTAGCTTTAATATACCTTTCATTTTGGTCCGCAATGGGTGGCTTTCGGAAAGAAGGTGTCTCCAACTGAAAATCTGGGTGGGCCAACAACCGAGAAGGGTAGTTCAACGGAGCAGCATTCTCCAAAAGTTTTCTTGGCGGCTTTGAAACATTGGGAAGATGAGTCAAGAATAGCTTACCGGAGATGCCATGCTATTACAAGGAACATCAACTGGAACGATAATTTGTTGGGGAGTAACCATGTTTCCTGGCATAGTTTCAGGCTGTGGTTCACTTGCAAGAATCTTCGCATATGATTCTGTGTACATTAATATGAAAGGACAAGCTTACCTTCTACACGCTTCTTCCAATCCAGATTGTACTTTTTTAGACGCCGATAGTATGTTGACTTATATCGTCTTAAGTCAAAATTGACTAGCGCTGCATCGTCAAAGATTGATTAATAAACTTACGTAGTCTAGAATTTTTCCGGCGGTATGGTTCGAAATTAGCTAGTGGTCTGCTGTCATTTAGCGTATTAGTGATGCTTGACGGAGAACTGCTGGAGCTCATGTTACCTGGAAAAAATCGGAAAAAACGGATTCCTGCAGTCTACACAACTTATACGCTATGCCTTATAATAAAAATGGCCGGTACTGTCATAGTTGCAATATAAAACGTATAACTACGCAAGTAATTACTTGGAAAACTTCGTAAAAAAGAAGGGTGGCAAACAGGCCGACAACTCACAGCAGTGGAAATAAAAGTGGTGGATTACGCCGCTTCGAAGGATTTCAGTGCAGTAAAAGATTTCTCAGGGAGGGGCCTTTGGTGATGTATTCAGATAGTAAAAGTACATTTAATTGATTGTTTATATTAAAAGAGTTTATTACTTTAAATTATGTATTATTAATCAGTAGTTAAGATTCATTGTAACGCAGTTCTAAAAAGTTTACTGTCATTGGTTGAGGAAGTACATCAGGGTTACTCCCATTGGTTGATTTGTAGCCAATAACCGTTCATCAGGTTGCCCCGAAAAGTCTGCAATGCGCCCTAAGTTTTCCTCGGAATCTGCAATGTGCCCAAAGTTTGCCCCAAAAAGTCTGCAATGCGCCTTAAGTCAGCCAAAAAGTCTGCAATGCGCCCTAAGTCTGCCCCAATAAGTCTGCAATGCGCCCGAAAAAAATGCTAGAAGGTTTAAACCTTGTTGAAAATGTCTCCTTGATTCGGATTTTGACTTCCCTGTGGAAAATTTGTGGATAGGAGGGGTAGAAGGATGCATATATGGAGCTATAATGACTCTGCAAAAGAAGTGTCGGGCTGTTGATGGTTATACATTCAGATTCAACCACTTCATATGAGGAAGTCTGAAAGGGTTGGTAAGTCGCACGTAGTTGGAGATTTTTTAGACACTTCTCGAAATAATAGCTCCCCCTTAGTAATATATAATCCTGCATAAAAGTTGTTATGCTGCAGTATGAATTCAACTTAAGTTAGAAGTGACATACCTGTCTTTTAAACAAGTCTTCTTGACGTATTCAGTAGTCCTCTACTGTGCATAAGCCGTATGCTACTATTAAGTTTTCTGTGTCTGGACTTCGGACAACTGATACTAACGTGTAATCCTGTCGAACTCATGTTAGCTCCACAGATAGAGGATAGCGGCACAAACGGCTTATGGAGAGGCTGAGCACTTGAAGGTCACTTATGCACGCTGTGATTGGTAGATTTTCCTTTGAATAAACGTTGCGGCTAATACGTGCCTTAAGTTACTGAGGCAGGCTTTGAAATACCAGTACTAAAAGCGGATAGACATTATATTTTTTAGCTTAAGGGAACAAGTTAACATGGTTATAAACTTCACAGATGTAGGAAGCATTAGATCCATTTACAAGGAGAATACTACTGGGTAACTTAATCAAAGATGTACGAAGTTGGGTGAGGATAAACATTGTTGCGTGTTATATTTTCCGCGACTCAGTTTTTTTCGGCTTTCATTAGCTAGAATGGTGGCGGTCAAATGGAGTTTGAATTGTCCTTGGGTGCGTGCTGTCGGGTGCTGTCTTGGCGTGGTTGTGTTTGCGTCGTTTGCCAGCATATGTGTTTACTATGAACGTGAATTAGACTATTGTAACGCTTTGTTTTTCTTTGTTTGTGCATGTACTAGGCTTTATTTGTCGTACAATTCGTTGTTTGGTCAATCGGTTGCTTGCGATGTCAACGAACCGGCGGGTTCTTGTGTTTTTCTGTAATTTAGGTTATATGTGCGGTATTTTCTTGATGGTTATCTATCATCCCTGTATTTCGATGTTGTTTTTTTACGATTTATCTTTGAATAGTTGTGACATAGATGGATCCTAATCGATAATTTTATTTTCGTCCGTTGCAGGTAGTCAATTCGAGTGACAGGAGCACAGATTTAAGTGGAATTTTTGCTGAATACATACTTGGAAGGCGTTTCTTGAGCTGGGATTAATTTGAGAAGTCATAAGCAGAATTTCAAAAAGTGAGGAAGTCATTTAATGCTAACACTGTAGTTGTCCCGCACTCACTATGTTCATAATTGCAGCAAAACGATACCGGATGACAGATTTAAGTACGCTTATGTTGGTTTTAAATGCACTTTTGGAGTGAATTGTACAAGACCTGGATTGAAATCGAGAAATAAGTCGTAAGAAGAAGCGTCATATGATTATATATATCCAAACCAAGTTCACTTTTAACGGTTTGAAAAAATTTCGGCATTGGGTATATGATATTCATTATAATAGAGGTTTTTTGTATTTCCCAATGAATGAAAAAACAAAACGAGATTGTTTTTACTGACGTTTCGCTATTTAATGCTAATAGCTTTCTCAAAGTATTATTAAACCGGAATTTACAAAATCTCAGCATATATATAACAAAGAATTAGGGGGTGAGAAAAATGTAGACTTAGTTCAACTTAAAAGGACATATTGAAAGTCAAAATAACAATGAAGATCGTTCAAACCAAATATCAAAGGTAATAGTATATCTGTTATTATATCAAAATAAAGTTTACTAACTTGATCATCGTTCGTTACTCTGGGGTTATTTTTGGTTGTCAAGTTCGAGAATAGGTAAAGGTAACCAAACTAAGTGTAGAATGTGAAATACTTGATTATCGTTCGTCAGTATGAGGTCATTTTGGTTGTCATGTTGGGGAGTAGGTAAAGGTAACTAAACTAAGTGTAGAATGTGAAATACTTGATCATCATTCATCAGTCTGGGTCGTTTTTTGTTGTCAAGTTAGCGAACTGGTAAAGATAGTAAAACCAAGTGTAGATTGTTGGATTTTGTCAGTGTGTAGAATTATGAAAGTAGTGTGCGTTTACATAGTGAACTTGCTCACCACATTTGCGTTGATTTTGCTACTTCTTGGGGGAGGGTGTTGTAGCCAGGTTAGATTCTGTTTCAGTCCATCATTCCTATTCAGGCATTTTGCATTCCACTTGATATGAAGTGCTTCTGATATTAGACGTTCTTTGTGGTTTCTGAAGTTTTTCTGGATTATTTCAATATTGTCAAAATCAATTTTGTGGCCTGATTCTATAGCATGTAGACCTATGGCTGATGATTTTTGAAGTTTTTCCAGTTCAACTGGATTTCTTGGTGGTCGAAGAGAAGCTCTACGGTGTTCATTTCTTCTGATTTTGATTTCTCGAGATGTTTGTCCGATGTAGATCGCATCACATTCCGAGCATTTTATTTTGTAGACACAATTAGATAGAGAATCTTTCGGGATTTGGTCTTTTATATGGACAAGGTTGTTTTGAAGTGTGTCCGATGTTTTGAAGAAAACTCTAATGTCGAGTTGATTAAGTACTCTTCTGATATCGTCTGATGTCTCTGCTGTATATGGAATGACGACTGTTGAAGTCCATGTTTTCGGAATGCATTTTCGGCCATACTTAATGTTTGTGTTGATTTTGTTGATGAAGTTCGTTGGGTAGTTGTTTTGCTTGAGAGTTTTAGTGATGTTTGAAATTTCTTCTTCTTTTTCTTGCTCATCTGTTATCAGGGAGTGTGCTCGTCTAAGAAGACTTGAAACAACTGAAATCTTTGCACTGATGGGGTGTGATGATTTGAAGTCTAAATATTTGTTGGAGTGGGTTTTCTTCCTGAATATGGATATACTAAAATGTCCGTTTTCTTTTCTCTTAACTAGGCAGTCTAGAAATGGAAGTTCACCGATGTCTGATTCTGCCTCCGAAGTGAACTGGATTTTGGGAGATACACAGTTTATTTTCTCCAGGAATGAATTGTGTAGATCCCGTTTTAGTACTACAAAAGTATCATCCACATATCTTAACCATATTTTAGGAGTGAGTATGTTTGAAAAGATATTATTTTCGAATTTATTCATGTAAAGATCGGCGACTATTGGGGAGACTGGTGAACCCATAGCAACACCATTTGTCTGTCTATATAAACTCCCTTTAAATGTAAAATAATTACTTTCCAGACAGAATTTTAAGCTCTTAATTATTTCACTGGTGTCCAGTGGACATCTTTGTGATAGCGTTGTATCTGATTCTAGTAGACTGGAAATGATGTCAAGACTTTCGGTAATAGGGATGCTAGTATATAGTGAGTTAATATCATAGCTTACCATAATGTCTTCTTTATCAATTTCTCGGTGTTCTATTTGGGATTTGAAATCATATGAATTTTTTACAATATTTTGAGTGTCCTTTTGTAGTGGTTGTAGTATCGAGAGTAAGTATTTAGAAAGGTTGTATGTTGGTGAGTTGGTGAAATCTATCACTGGTCTTAGTGGAACTGTGGGTTTATGTATCTTTGGTTGACCGTAGAATCTTGAAGGTATATAAGATTTTGGTTTTAGTGTAAACCAGAGCGAATTTCCAATTTTGGGTTTCATTTCTTGAAGTAGTCTGTTTGTATTTAGTTTCATTTTGTTGAATTCGGCGGATTTCTTCTTCTCTTCAATGAGTAAGTATGGTCCTTCAGATAGGTGTTCAATCGAACGATAATCAAGTATTTCACATTCTACACTTAGTTTGGTTACCTTTACCTATTCTCGAACTTGACAACCAAAATAACCCCAGAGTAACGAACGATGATCAAGTTAGTAAACTTTATTTTGATATAATAACAGATATACTATTACCTTTGATATTTGGTTTGAACGATCTTCATTGTTATGTTGTTATTTTGACTTTCAATATGTCCTTTTAAGTTGAACTAAGTCTACATTTTTCTCACCCCTAATTCTTTGTTATATATATGCTGAGATTTTGTAAATTCCGGTTTAATAATACTTTGAGAAAGCTATTAGCATTAAATAGCGAAACGTCAGTAAAAACAATCTCGTTTTGTTTTTTCATTCATTGGGAAATACAAAAAACCTCTATTATAATGAAGTGTAATATGATTTCATGAATATTTCAGGTCTAAATGTTGCAATTGCTCGTCTTCATTTCGCGTGGTTTTGCGTTATAGTGAATACATAATTGCTTCCCACAATATGGTACATAACCATCCATGCAGCAAGGTGTACATGCCGAATGACCCATGGTATAGACGACTAACAGTTGAAGAGAAAGAAAATGTGGAACCACTTCTTCAGCAATCCCACTCATCCGATGAAATAATAATGCATGTGTCCATGGAGTTGAAGATTGAACGATCAATTCTTGGTTGTTTGCTCAAAATCAACTTCCCCAATTTTCGCGGAGGCATCAATACGACAGTCATCGTCTCATCGGTCGCTGTTCAGAAAGAAGAGTA